TTTCAGACATTGTTCTTTTGAATGCACATAAAAAATCAAAAATTAAAATTTTGACGAGAGCTTCGGTTCCTTGATGCTGTCGTGGACCCTCTCTTAATACAAAAAAAAATCGAAAGCAAAGCTTCAGAAAAATAATTTACGCATAGAAGTATAAATTGAGGCCCATCGAATATATATATAATATGTAGTAATCTGAGAATTACTGCACTTCGATGAATCTGTGAGTTATGTGGAGATAGTTTCTAGTTTTATTTCTAGTCCAATAAACTAGTGCGATACGGTGAAAGTGAACAAAGTTGCGTTCATTAAGTTAAGAAGAAAACCAAATAGTCATGGTCACATAAGAATTATAATGCGAACAACTTGGATTTTAGCCACAGAACTTCCTTGAAACATTTTGTTGAGGTACCAGTCATGAACTGTAATAAGATCCGATATACGTGTAAAAAATATCCTACTATCTCTCGAAATAGCCCCGTAAAAAAAATAGAAAACTAAGGAACTCGAGAAAAAGATAAATCAAGTGCAGAAAACGGTGATGAGAGGAACAGTCGTTCAAACATATTGCTTCGGATACCAAACTTGCAGAAGAAAATATTTTCTTGTGGATGCACTTGCTTGAAAATAATGAACTGAACAATGAGGACAAAGATAGAATCAAAACAAACGATAAAAGAATTCTTGAAAAAGAAAGCGCAGGAAAGTTTTGAACTTAAGTCAACTATCAGATGAAGAAATAGCTGAAATGAACAGTGCACATAAGCTGATGAGACAAGAAAAATATATATATAATGAAAAAAAAACAAGAAAACTCTCATACACAGGTTGAATCGGACCGAATCCCTGCAGACATACAAAGCCGAAGCCCTACCCACAAAGTCCGTAGATCTTGACATATTTTAACCCGTCAACCCGTGATTCGTCAGAGGCCTAATCCGATCCGTACCCCACAGGTCTGGCGGATCGACTCATTATGGGTTAAGTAACCAAAATCTCTGATACACTGCACTGAATCACTATATCAATTAGCTTAGACTTTTTCTATATCATCAAGTAGCACTCCTGAAACATGATCATCAATGCAGATGAAAGATTATGGCAAAAAATATGACTTTTTCTCGCTAACCAGCTCTACAGCTTATGAGAAACCATTATCTTGATGCAATTTCAATCTTGGAGACCGGGCTTGACCTCAAGAACAGGCCAGAACTTTTTCTAATATATAAAGTTTCATGTTAAAGGTAATTCGCGAATTACTTAATAAACTTGAAAGAGAATGGCGACAACAATACTTCAACTTACTAAGAGAGAAGATCGCAGTTATTTTCTATTGATATTTAATCGTGAAGGTCCTAGCATTGGGATTTGTCGTAATGCTATCCGTTTCGTTTCATTCCATATAGGAAACCGATAATACAGATATAATATTTTACATTACTCCACTCCACTATTGCTTCAATCACCAGAGACTATTAAGCCGATGTGGTCTGATATCATTTGGTCTAAAATAGATTCGTAGAATCCTAGCACTGTTATATTGTGATAGTGTAACGCAACCATAGATGAAACTCCAATGTGCACTCCCCGATAAGACCACAATACACTATAAAGATAGTACAAAATAGAAGAAATATTTGACGCATCATAATGATAAATAAATTTTCAAACTTCTTTCTGTCACGTTACTTCTTGATGTAGCGACTAGGCAACACATATGAGATGTATTTCGCTAAATATGGACTCCATATTATCGGCTTAATACATTCTTCTGTCTCTGTTTTGTCTTTGACATTACTAAAAGTTCTCCAACACACAAAAATAAATGCTTTTATATTCGATTCCTTTCAAAAATGACAACAGATTAAGGAAAAAATCGAGAGAGTGTGAGTGTAAGTAAGAGTTACTAATTCTCCTGAGAATATTGCCATACTCACTTACACCCCCGTCCACATATATAATCTCAGTCGAACTTTTAATATACTTCCTAATCCGTGAGATTGTGTGCGTAGCAAGAGGTATGCAGCAGGTCGTCCCGAGTTCTCAAGTTCTCACTCAAGCCCTTCCGAGTTACAAATTCTATTTTGAAAAAGTGACTCAGCACGACTAAGAATACGAGTACCACTAATTCCAAAGGATTAAAAGAAATTATCCCACATGAATCTACACTCATGTTCTCGAGCCCATCAGTTCTCTTTCGTGTAACGATTTAGCGTTATATTATTAATAAATAAATTACTGGACGAAAAATAATGCATAGCTGCGCATGCTTTTCTTTCCTCAGACTGACGTAATGAAACTAGCTTTGAAAACAAATGAATACCACTAAGCCAATTAAGTGAATATCAGTTTTAAACTTGAACTCACGCATTCTTCATTGATAGAGGCTCTCGTCATATTAAATTGTATAACATATTCCAAAAAAAAATGTGCGAGTTTGCCATTCTTGATGTTTCTCGTGTTTATTCAACAGAGTCACAAACAATAGATATGTATGGTGCCTGGCCTGATATAAAGGTAGAAGACATTCACACATTGGTTGAAAAAGTAACTACAGCTGAAAAAAGTTAAATTCGTCGTATATTAGCTTATTTCTTTTCTAGTGGATCAATAACTGGAATGAAAAATTGTTACCAGAAAACTCGTATGTATTTTAATCTTCGTGTCACCTCTTTAGTACATCACATTGAAGAATCTTCCATATTTATTTATTTCATTTTCATGAGTACACTATTATGCGCGTAAAAACGAACTTAGATTAATCGTTTAGGGGTAGCAATCCAGACATATCAACGATCGAAACAATAAAGGATTATGGTCGAATTCATTTTCTAGAAAACGATCGGAAGTCATGGGTAAGCACTTTGAAACAACTTCACAAAATGGATTTTCTCGTTCAATCACTGAATTCTATGATAAGCAATATTTGAGAGAGAAGTTTGAACATGTCCAGTAATCATTATTTCTATTTATGTGAGCTCCACTTTTCAAGATGGTTCAGGGTATGCAAAAAATAAAACATATCCTCTCAAAGGAGAGAGCTCGATATGCCATGAAATATGCCTCCTTGATAAATTCCACACTATTTAAGGGAACCTATCATACTGGATGTCTGAAAGCGTTCTGTCGTAGAATTAGTCAAATAGAGCTTGTTTTTGCTATGAACAGATCCGGTAACTGATTCAATGATCATTGCATTAAGAATGATTCTGGCTTTTCATCATAACCATGTCATTTTATCCCCTCAATACATGATCGAGTAGTCCCTTTGTTATATCTTTATTTCTATTCTCTTTATTTTGCTCGCATATTATTTCGCTTTGTTATCGCCGAAACAGCAACGTGATGGTATGACAACAGAACGGAACAAAAGGATAATCTCCCTTCGATGGAATCGAACCAACGTCTTCTGCTTTTCGGGCAGCTATACTACCACTGTACTAGAAAGGAGCGTTTATTATTCGTTTGTTCCGTCTTATGATCGAAGGGGAACACTTCGGTCATAACACCCTTTTCCGTATGTGGTTGGATAGCAGTTTTAGTGGGCTTTAAAATGATATAAAAGCATTGACAAATAAAAATAATCAGCATCATTTGTTATGAACAGCATTTGACTACACAACCATAAAATGTCTGAAAAAATGATGATAACCACTGGAAGTCTGCATAATTATGAATCAACCACATGGATCGCCAGACTAGTTTTCATAGTGCTGATAGAAGTTTTGAAAAGTTTGAAAACGATATAAAAATGTTAAGCAAAAACACTGGTCAGGCAATTCAACTCTAACCGAACTGTTGACATGAATACACTCTAAAATGTCGTTTTAAAAATGTCCTTGCATTTACGTTCTCAGAAAAAATGTCCCCCAGATTTTTGTCCTTGAAAAAATGTCCTTCACTTTCTTGTGAAGATGTTAAAATAAAATTAGTCCAGTATCTAGATATCGCTGTAGTCCACACATTTCATATTTGAGATTTATATTAATTACATAGAGGTTTATCTCAAAATGTAATGAATGAAGTAAAAAAAAATGTTCTAGTACGATCAGTTATACTTATAGCAAATTTACAAATAAGCATAGCAATTATTTTTAAATGGAATCATGTGATTCAATATTAACTGATGAAACATCATCATCTTTTTCTTCTTCAAAATCAATAAATTACTTATCATTATTATCATCCTCTCCATCGCCAAAGGTGTATGGCTGTGGGTGTGCGTGTGCGTGTGGGTGTGGATGCATAGGGTATGGGTGTCCGTATGACAGTCCTCTTTAAACTAATACTGACACCCAAACCCACACTCACACTCACCCTTCACTTTCGATGTTTTCCCACTTTCCCATTAACCATTAACATTAATCCCATTTATTAGACATGGCACAAGAAATTCACAGTGAAATTTTGTGGAACTCACGTATATTTTCGAAGAAAATAATCAGTATAAGTTTTAAGTTCGAGATTTGGCAGCTCCCACCCCACCCCATTACAGACACATAGCAACGGGAAAGAGAACATTACAGACACCCCCCCCCCCCCCCCATTACAGATACTCCACCATTGCAGACCTCAGCAAATGCGCATAGAAAGCTTTCGATTCTATATTATAAATCAATGCTTTTATAAATACTCGAAAAAAAAGCTATTTTCTAGTTTAAAAATCAGGTATGAGGACAACAAGTTTAAAAGATATACGTGAGTTCCATATTTTAGTCCCTTTGGAGCTGCGCTAAGAAGCTCTTTTCATGCCACTGTAATTCGATATCGATATGTAAATAAAACTGAGTCTAATTGATTTATATTCGGGTTAGAATCATGGAGACTAGAGATTTTAGTGGACTCAACTTTTCTCGAAGTGTTTGTATATTATATTGAGATATTATTATGAATTATAATGCTATTATACTGTGCACGCTATAGAAGAAAAAGCTGTAGATTATTTATGACAAAACTGAGAATATTTTTACTTCTTTTTTTATCAGTTCGTTCGATTTCCATTTATGTTGAAGAAACCCGCTGAAACTGACAAAAATGATTCCTCAACGGTTTCGACTACACATCGTCGGCGAGCTGATTCATTGTTACGTGAAGTACGTGATGATGACGACAATAGCAACGAAACTGTGGCACCTAGAAAACATGCTAAATCGGAAGCAGTTGAAATTGTTGATTTCATGCGAGATGCTTGGAAATTACCGACTCCAGGAATAATTATATCAGTGACCGGTGGAGCGGCGTTATTTGAAATTCCATCACCACGCATACGCAAGCTATTGCGACAGGACTTGGTAGCAGCAGCAGTGTCTACAAGTGAGACGAAATTATTTCGTTTCTGATTGTATCTACTTTGATATAAAAAATATTCTCATTAATTCAGATGCTTGGATATTCACTGGTGGTACTAATTCAGGTGTGATGAAAGAAGTAGGTGATGCATTTCATGCCTGTCGTTATAAGGGTACGAAAACAACATGGAAGATTCCCTGCATCGGTATTGCTGACTGGTATGCAACAATAGGTAATAAGGGATGGGGGAAAATGTTTTGTATTAATTTGGATTTTGATAGTTATAACTCTGCGATACAATGTCATAGAGACCTGATTATTTTATTGTTATAAAAAGTGAAGCCTCAAGTGTAAAGATATAGCAAAAAGCTCGGCTGGAAATATTTTTTTTGAGAATCACAAGATTGTTCGAACAAAAGATATTAAGAACCTATTCTGCAAATTTCTTTTAACTTAGAAAAGGTTTCCTACGTTCCTACGATTTAGTAGGTTATCTATTTACTCGTCTAATTCAGATTTCATTATGTAAGGATCGAGAAGCATTAAGGGACGAGAAAAAGAAATTTTCTGTATTTTACATAATATTCAAAAACAACACTTTTATGATAAAGTCCAAGTCGGCAATTTTTCATAATTTTTGATGCCAGCAGACAAAAAAAATTCTGCAAACGTAGAAAAGTTTCCGCTAGCTAAACATTTTATATGACAGGGAAAGCATTTTAAATCCTCTGCTACACGATATTATTTTATATACGATATAACTGCTCCAAGAGATATGCAAGGATAAATTTTTTTATCGCATTGGACAGCAAGATCCGAACAATTATTTTTTTTAAAGATATTGTCTTCTGTTTATTCTCTTGAATACAATATCAATTTCTCCATATGCATGACCCTGGAAAAAATGGAAAACGAGTATCGAAAAAGGTCACACAAATATTTCTGGACGATAAATATGACCAAAGTTGGCGAAGAGTTTTCCGATGCTCTTGGTTCTAAGATTCTTGTGATTCTCAATAGCCACTGCCAATCAAATTCTTTGTTATATTTTTGCACTGGATACTTTACTTTCTCAAAGTAAAAGAATCAGGTCTCTATACCACTGCATCTTAGAGTGAGATCAAAAACAAAAGTAATGCAAAACTTTTGGTCCACCAGTTATTACTCCATTACTTGTTCTCTTTTTGAAACTTACTTGCCTACATCAGATTACGCACAAATAGAACAAGATCACAATACAACAAGCAATAACAAATTTTCAGTAGTTTCTTCTTAGAGCAAATATCAAGAGGGAATATATTCCATATTTTTGCATTTAGAACAACACAAGTCAGTCGACTGAAAACAGTCAACAACGTATATTCCGTTATTGGGCGATGGAACCAGAGAAAAAACAACAATTAGAATCATATCTTCTCGATTACAATCATACACACTTTCTATTGTTGGACTGTGGATTTGAAAGGATACCCAACAGTCACAAAAAATTAGCGTCACCTAATCTAAACTCGTTTGAACTAATACTAAACATGAGAGCAAAAATTGAAGAAGAATCACGAAACATTAAAAAGTCTGAAGGAAGTAAGACATTTTGATATATTTATATAAAAAGAAATCTACGATAACTTTGTTTGCCTAATTTATAATTTATTTCATGTGAAGGTCAAGCATATCACCTTTATTATAGGTTATCGTATACCGATCGTGCAGATTCTCATTAATGGTGGTCCTTCAACCATTGAAACTGTCTGTGAAGCGGTTCATCAGAAGACACCCGTCATTGTTATTGATGTACTTGATGAAATTCGAGATGCACACATTTATTCATCATGTCACATTATATTTCTTGTAGGGTACTGGCAGAGCAGCAGATTTAATCGCTTCTGAATACAATTATCTCTATGGTTCAAGCCTAGAACGTTCGAAGAAAAAATATAATGAATTAACACAAAACGATAACTATTGTAACTAGTATGTTGAAATTGTAGCTTGGTAATCAAAATTTTAAAAGTCTGTTTTGTAGCGAAGTTCAATCAAAACCTAGGCTGACATCGGTACAATCAATATTAACGGTTGACAAGCGTCAGAAATTTATTACGATGATGCAATCTATAGAGGGCTACTTCCTATTGACTACGTGGAAATTGGGTGACAAAGAAACGAAATTGAAACTCAATGATGCTATCATGAAAACCCAAGAATATGGTGAGATCAATCAGTTCAACCTATGTGCTAAAGATCGAAAACAAGGAAGTCTTGTTATTTATCATTGTTTGTTTCCTCGAAAAAAAAGCTTTCTCATCTCCTTTGAAATCTTATATTTTGGCAGCTTGAAAAAATATATTGGGTATCGCTCTTTCGTTTCTATGTGATTGTTATGGGTTGAAGATGTTGATAGTATGATTCATTAAATTTTATTGTACTCTGCTCTGTTGAGGAGAAATTCCTAAGAATATAGTAAAGTTGCAGCCGGTAATTGGGAACTCCCAATCTATTCTAAAATTTCTTATCGGTCTATAGAGATGAGTATTTTCATATAGATAAGCCTAGAAATCTTTTTGCTTTTTTCTTAATCTTGACTATATTTTTGTAAAACTGAAGCACGAAAAGAACCTTTTTGCGCGGATAAAACAAGTTTTACTAACATCAATTATAAATTCTAATAGAAAAAAAAACGTAGTAGCGTGTTTTTTTGAGTCCATGCCAATGACAATGTAATAATATAGATCATCTAGTCACTACTTTATTAAATTTTATAATAATATCGTAGTTAATGCTATTTTTCACTATATACGTATAACGCAAGTCTGTTGAAGCTATGCTTTAGAGCTTTATCCTCGTTTCCATTCTACTATTAACATAAAATAAGAAGATGTTATCTTAAATCTATTTTATCTCAGACTATCTGATATCAAGCTTCAATAATTTACTAGTCTATGACAGTACATAGAGTAGTCAAAAAGTCCGTGCACTTTGCTATATCTATTCAGGGAAATGAGATTCCATCCATCGCTGTACATCATCTATTCGAGATAGTTGTTGTGATATTCCATTGGAAGTTTCATCCTTTT